ATCTGGGATGACCCTTTGAGCTTCAAACCTGAAAGATTTGTGGGATCGAAGTTGAGTTATAAAGGCAATGACTTTGAATTCCTACCATTTGGATCAGGAAGAAAAATGTGTCCAGGAGAAGCCATGGCTTCCAAGATTGTGCTCCTAACGGTTGCTGCTTTGATCTTGAACTTCGACTGGATCCTTCCTGATGACACGAATCCGAACGAGATTGACATGGAAGAGGAAATGGATATTGCTATGCACAAGAAACAACCGTTGCGTGTAATTCTCAAGTATCGTAAGCAAGCCGAGAATTGACACCGACAGCTTCGTCATTTCCGGTCTGTAAGTTGTAATATTGTAATTAATAAGATGCGGGGTGTCTTTAATTTCTGTTATTTATATTTAAGTTTTTATTACGTTACGATAATTTAATTTATAAAAAAAAAATTAAGGATGAAATCGGGTGGGATCACTCTTCCACTTAAAAAAGTATTTATAGTGTCAACTACTCTTGTTCGCTAGCTTCTTTTCGTCAAGATTCTTCTAGAATCGTTTTAAAATTAGCTTACTATTTAAATCTGGATAAAATTGTTGTCTTAAATTATATATGTCATTTTATTAATCAGATATATAAATTATCTGAGTGAGAATAAAATTTAAATTAAATTAATTTAAAATAAAAAATCTGATATATCTTAATTTTATTAATAAAAAATATATTTTTATTTTTTTAAATCAAACATTTATGAGAGGAATCAAAAAGACAATCAAATAAAGTGGAAGTGCCTCAAACCTCAAATAACCATACTTTTGTAAAACAACTTATCCCCTCTCTAGGAAGTGCCTCAAACCTAAGTCAAACTCCGACCGAAACACGATGACTTCTTGTCAAAACTGCCACATCGATTTCACGCTGATTCACTCATTCGATCTCCGTTTTCATTCATTACATCATTTCCAAGAGAAGATATGGAACATTGTTCGATGAATCATACTACCTCAAGAGTAGCTTACAACCTCAGTTTGTTACATTTAATACTGAACTGGTCCAAACCCCCAATTTAATCAGTTTGTTATATCTGATATTTTCTATTTAATAAAAGATATTACATACATTGTTAACTTAATACATTCTTCACTTCTTATGGACAATGACTATCCACCTTAATTTCCTCATCAAAATAAAAGGAAAGATTTCACATGTTTTTGTTTTTGAAAAATTTCATACGGTAGAAGTACATATAGCATTTGGTAAACAAGAGGTACATATAGTTATGCACGATGTACAACTATTGTAGCACAATGAGGAAAATAATTGGGTTATTTATAGAGCGATCGAAAAGTGTTCATTTCCCTTAATATTCACTTGTCAACAAAAAAACAAATTTTCCATTTATTGAAAATACAACCTTTTGTGCATAGTGTCCAAGCTGTAAAGCACAAATCGGATGTTATAAATTTACAATAATTTGGTGTTTAATAAATTGTTGCACATAATAACGTTTTAATAGACTAAAATCTTACCCGATAAGTAAGTGATATGATTGAATTTTACTAGTAAACGTTTACTATGTAAGTTTTTGATAAACGACTTTTATTCAATAAATATTTGAAAAAAAAAAACTGCCCCTAAATCTTTATCATATTCTAAAAGGGTGTTTTGGATTACTTATTTAAAACAACTTATGTTTTTTTTTTGTAAAAGTGTTTATTAATTTATGTGGTATCAAACTGGAGTTAAATAAAACAAGATTAAAATTGTAAACTGGTAATAAACAGTTTTTCATAAGTCAGGAATGATTAACTTATAAAAACAGCTTATTACCGGTTTAACACTGATATAAACAATTTTTTTTTATCCAAACATCAAAAAATAGCTTATCATCAATATCAATATAAATTAAAAAACAACTTTTACAAACAATCCAAACTTTCCTAAATAAGGAAATATCTCTAACATATGGAATTACGAATCATTTTTCCGGGGATAACGCAACTTTGCAAAAACAAGACGAAGGGCATCAGAATTATGTACCCACACACGCACTTTCTTTATATTTCGTCTGAATTTTAGCTTCACGCTCTTTTTTTCCAACGCGCCACTAAGTACCGTCAACATATGCACGATCTTCGCCAACACGCGCTCAATTCGCGTGGTTGTGAACTCTGATTATTAAACACTTGTCATCTGCCACCGGCACGGCCAGCTGCGTGTTCTGTTCAACAAATCACATGTGTTTGCTGAATAAAGTATCACTAAATTAAAGATCGGTCCTTCCATTTTTAGTTAGTACGAATTTAGCCCCTCTCTAACTAAAATGTAACACCTAAGTAATAATCGATTAGATTGATTAATACCACCGATCATTTCAATAAGTATCTCAATTAATTGGTTTATTTCATTTGTAGTAACGAGTGAGTTTGTAAATGAAACCACCTCCACATTTACATTTAAAAAATAAGTAAAATAGTAAGTTTGTAAAAGAAAATTGTAACAATAAATGTATATTTTTTATATATAGCAATTAACGATTTACACATTTTGTAGGTTTAAATTTCATATTATTTTTGTTAATTTGTGATTATAGTAAAATATTTACAAGTTACAACGTGATTCTCATTCGTAAATTTTCTTTTTTGTTTTCGAAAGTGTTGAGTATAAGGGGCTGTTATAACAGTTGTTGAATGGTTTGATGCAGAATGATTAAGTTGTCAAAATGTTTAAGAGGTTCTTATGATATAATGCAAAATGAAATATAATTATTTGGTAATTATTTACAATGAAATTAGGACGCTAAATGGTTAAAAGATGCTCATGATACAAAACCATTAAAAGACATATTTTTTTTTTTGATAAACAAGATTTACCTCTTAACGATTCAGAGGTTGTCTATTAATGGAACTATTAAGAGGTAAATAAATAACTCTTAATAGATACAAAATCATTCAAATCAATCTCAATCATTTATAGTCGTTTTCACAAATGTTTCAAATTGATTGGGTTGTATTAATTAGGTAGTTTGCAAAAGAACGAGACTGTAGGGACTAAACCTTCTAAAACTATAAGCTTATAGACGTTATTGTAAATTCAAACATTTATTGTGTACCGCGATACACCATACCGTTTCTCCCACCACTTTTTCTTTTTGTTTATCATCATCATCCCTTGATGCTCACTGCTCATTTTCTCTCTCTCTAAACTTTTTTTTCTCTCTCTAGCACGGTTAACCGGAAAACATACAGCAATGGCGAAAATGATGATGATGTTGGCACTATGCGTGCTCCTGCCGGCGGTGATTAACGCCGGTCGTCCGATGTCCCGTCCTTTCCGATTAGAAGGCAGAGTATACTGCGATACTTGTCGTGCTGGTTTCGAGACTTCCGCCACCACATACATTCCCCGTATGTTTCTCCATCTGCTTAACTCCATCTTTTGTTTCATTGTTTTGTTAATAAATCACACAAATAGGATGATTAGTACACAAGGCAAAGGATTGTGTGAGAAGTAAGAGGGATCTGGCCTCTTGGTCACCTTTAATCTCAAATCCGTCCGTGAATCACCTATACGGGGATTGTTACAGTGTTATCTCGATGCTTCTCGTCTTAATGTCCACCTAAGGATTGAGATCCTTCTAACGCCTCTCACCGGAACCCAACCGTAGTAAACAATAGTAATTTATACCATTTTTTTTGGTTTATTTATCAAAATAATTAGTAGATCCGTATATACTAAGCTGTATATTGTTAAGGTTTTAGTAGATCTGAACTTGGATTGGTGTTTCTTAGATGTAATCCCTGCTTTTAGAGCTCATTCTCTTAAGAAATTTTATGAAAACAGATATTAAGCTGCAAATGTAAAGTGAGGTTCTGAACATAGTACTAAAATATTGATTTACATTTGAATTGTCCTCATCATACTAAATCGCGTAAATAAGAAAATAAATAAATACACGTTAATTTTAAAAAGAAGAAGTGTCGGCATAATAGATGTTGATTTTCTCATTTTAGTGTTATAAAAAATTTGGACCTTTTTTTCCCCTTTTCTTCGTAATTCTCATTCTCATTTTATTCCTACATTATCTCGTGAAAAATGAAAATGTATTGCATTTGATACTTTTTTCTCATCAATACCCACCATGGATCAAGGAACTAGGGTTCCAAGAGCTGTAAGGGTATGCACTAGGAGCTAGGGTTTCAAGGGCTCTAAGGATCACAATGACCTGGGAAATTTAGATTATTTTTTATCTGATGCACTTTTTTAGTTTTCTTCGGTTTACAAGTTATTGGAAATCAGATTGTGCAGTTTTTTATGCTTGAAAATCTATTAACTATTAGCAAAGGTTTCTTATTTGTATACGAGTAACTTAACTCATGACTAATATATTATATTATGAAATTATGATTTGGAAATGACACAGTTTCAAAAGCAAGCTACAAACTATATATGCTCACAGAGGGAACGTTGGTCGTCCTGAGTATGCATCTAAGATGGAAAGCGCTCCCCATTCCCCCAACTCCACAAAGCAAAATGTCACCATCAATGGAGTTACCCCCATTGTATGTGAGGGGAACTGAACTGATCTAATCATCCATTGGATGTTGGATTTTGCCAACCGATCCGATCCAATCGAATGGATGTTTGGAGCAATTCAGTTCCACCCATTGGATATTTTTATTGGATATTCGACCGGATCGGATTGGATCTGGCCAATCTTTAATTGGATTGGATCCATCTGACATCCAATGGATGATCAGATCGAATTCATACTGTGTTAATTCAATCCAATTTTCCATCAATCAGAAAAAAATGATTAATCACTTTTAACATGTGTTTAAACCAACACAAGCGAGACTAAAAATTCAAAACCAACACAAAACAAATTCCAATTTAAGCAAACTGAAAACAAATTAATTGAATGATAGTTGGATGGATAACTCGATGGTTAATTGGATGTTGGTCGGTTTTGGACTGTCGTTCTTGACTTATCCAAATTGGATGTTGAAATTTTCAATCTGATCCAATTATGATTGGTCGGTTCCAATTGGATTGGTTGACTTTCTGCACACCCCTAATGGGTCTTTTACCAACTTTGTCGAACACCTGCCTCTTAAAGTTGCGTTCATGTCATTATTGCAAGATGGAATGCCAGACTGATGCTTAAGCTATCACTATTGATTTTTATCGGTGTTATTTTGTTACATTTATTGATTTAACTTCATCCTTGTGTAATTTTTCTATTTACAGTTTATTGATTGTAAAAATATTTATTACAAAAGTTGGCTCAAAGAATGGTTGTCTTCTTTTGATTTATGCAACAAATAAAACCGGCGATATTGGTAACAGCCGTAACAGGAATGGTTCCATTTGTTGCATAATTCGGTAAAAATGAACAACCATTCTTTTGAGCCAATTCTTGTAATAGATATTTATAGAGGTCAAACTTAATTAAATAATTGACGTAGCAAAACTACACCGATAGAAATCAATATAAATAGCTTAACGATAACTCTTTTATTCCTCGTGGTATTGACGTGAACGCAACTTTATTAGTTGAGTGTTTATCATCTTTCAAGCTGATCAAATATATAGGTTACTCCATTGATGACACTTTTTTCATGAAGCAAGGGTAACAAGGATGGGTTTCCATCTTAGAGTAATATGCAAGGAGACCAATATTCCTCTTTTGAGCATAGATATGTTAGCTTGCCTTTGTAAAAATGTGTCATTATTAAATCAGAGGGAGTTCATGGAGTAATAGTTTAATCATGAGTTAAGTTGCTCATATAGAAATAAGAAACTTCTACTACATCCGTAGTCATTAGATTTCCAAGCAAAAAAAAAATACACAATTTGATTAGTTACTTAAAAGTGCATTAGATTGAAAAAACCATATGAATCTCGCAATACAGATGGTTGTAATGCTCAGAGCTTTTGGAACCCTTGCTCCTCGGTCCATATATAGTTGGTAGGGGTGGATGAGAAAAATATCAAATGCAACAAGTTTCTATTCAAGAGATGTGGTCCAAAATTTTTAAAAGACTCTAAATTGAGAGTAAACCAACATCTATCGTTCCGACACATCTTTTCTTCTTTTACGAGAGACATGGTATGTACGTTTAACCAAGGAGGCACATGCTAGATAAGGGGAAGTAGTAGTTTAAAGAATGTGGTTTTTGATTGCATAAAGGTTTGAGAACCGAGGTGGGCGATGTTATTGTTTGTTATCTCGATATAATTCCCTAGAGGAAATTATGAGCATTTGCCAACATGCATTGGTTCATATATAGGTGCTACGGTTAGGGTGGAATGCAAGGATAAGGAACAGAAACTTCTGTATAGCATGGATGGAACAACCGACTCGACCGGAACATACCACATTCTTGTGAACGAAGAACATGGAGCAGACGAGATCTGTGATGTGGTTCTTGTGAGCAGCCCAATGGGTGGGTGCATGACGGCTGACCCAAGCCGTAACCGTGCCCGTGTTGTTCTCACCTCCTACAATGGGATTGTCTCCGACAAGCGTTTTGCCAATGCCATGGGTTTCATGAGGGATGAGATCATGTCCGGTTGCACAACACTTCTCCAATCACTCATGGAAGAAGAGAATTAGATTTGAGAAAAATGTTGCCAGAAATTGATATATTATCTACATATTTATTATTTGTGGTGGAATTGAACTCTAATATTTGAACTTCGAAGTATTCTTTTGTTTGTAGTTTATATGGACTATGGAGATTACTGTGTGTGTGGGGTGATTGGTATGAACCACTTGTGTTTATGGCTGCATCCTATAGACCTCAAATATTATTCCTTTCTTAAGTTTTAGTGGCTGCTTGCTAATGCTTGCTTGATAAGCTGCTTATCGGGTTATTTTACCTTATCGAATGAACATGATGAGGATTGAAAATCTTACCTGTTAAGAACGATGACAAGGACCGAGAGTCTTATCTGGTAAGTGATTAACAACTTTTTACCTGATAAGGGCTTATTGGATAAAATTGTTGCATAGATGTCATTTTAATAGATCAAGGTCTTGTTCGATAAGTTGAGTGAAAGTGTTTGAATGGTAAAGCATTTATTGGGTAAGAGTTGGATTAAAGTTTATGAATTTGATGATTCTTGATTGGTATAATGTGTTATAGGGTTTGGACCAGCTGATCTGACGTTCATCAACCTTGTGTTCACATAACTTTGTATATATTAACAAATTAAGTGTTCGGGATTGCTTATTTGAAACAAATTATGCTTTTCTGAAAACTCTTTATCAATTTATTATAAGTTAGAATGGTTTAACTTTTTCAAAAACTATTTATTACCGGTTTGGCACCGGTATAAGTTGTTTATCCAAACACTCAAAAGTGCTTATTGTCGGTGTCAGACCGAAATAAGTCAATAAGTTGTTTTTATAAGCTATCCCAAACACCCCTGATCGATGGAAGTGTTCAAAATTTGAAAGCATGTGAAGGTGGAGAAAGAGCCCTTTGTTGAAGGTAGATGAATGTTTGTGTTCCTTGTTGAGTCATTGAGTCAAAAATAAAAATTTATTTAAATGTTCAAAAGTTTTTAACCGTTCTCATTATAAACATTGTTATCACATGATTTTCATCTCTTTATAGAAGCTTTTCATCATAAAAACGACATTCAATAGAATTTGACATGAAAATCAAACAAAATGTTGTCACAATGCACATTTTCCTTCTCGAGTATCTATTGCTTTTAGCCTTGGGTGATTAAACTGAGCAATGTTCAAACATAAGACATCAAGTATTATTTTTAATAAGTCCTCGTTTCGTCCGTGTAGCAACCAGTTGTAACATTTCTTTCTTTTAGCATGTCGATGTCAATAATACATACATAATAAAATTCTCAATCAAAATTACTGATCAAATAGATTTTCAAAACTAAAATACACAACTCGATAAAACATTTGAATGCTTTTACCATAAATTCGAACGTCAAAATTCTCTTTTTAAAAGTCAAAGTATCTAATTAAATAAAAAAATTAACAGGTTCAAATTTGTGAAAAAAATGAAAATGTGAGCGTGTTTTTCGAGCTAATTATTTTGGGTAGGAACAGTAAATCAAAAAGGGGATGTAGCTCAGATGGTAGAGCGCTCGCTTAGCATGCGAGAGGTACGGGGATCGATACCCCGCATCTCCAAAATTAGAAACGAACCTTTTTGTCCCTCATTTTTGAAGTGTTGTTTTAATTTAGCCCAATTTAATAACTTGGATTAACAAATGTGTGTATAATAATTTTGATTTAAATATGGAGCATTCACTAAATATTTAAGTATGAAAATAGAAAATTTAAGCCAACCAACAAATGTTTTTGGTTTTTGACGGGGGATTTTCCCTCTGGTGTTTTAGGCTTGGATCCGCCTATACCTTCACTTACCTTATTAAATAATATTTTTGTACATCAAAATGGATGATTGTAAATGTTTATCACCTAGCGCATTCCGGATAAGAGTCGTCACTATCACTTACTGAATATAGAACTTTCAATCATTGTTTTCTTTCTTACCGAGTAAGATTCTTTATTATTCCTAAGCTAACTCGGTATAGTAAGTAATCTCATACGCACTTATCCGGTAAGTGTTTGATAAATGGTCACTTAGGAGCTGTTTACCTAAATGCTTACCCGGTAAGCGTTTACCTTTAGAAGTCAACACTATAATTTATTTTTTAGGTAAGATTGTAGACTGTAGTATATCAAAATGGTATCGTGTACAACAATATATATGGTAAGTGCTTACCCGGATAAGAATCGTCACCCTCACTTACCGGGTGAGACTCTCTATCTTTATCATTGCTCTTACCAGGTAAGATTCTTGGGTCTTGCCATGTTCGTCCAGTGAGAAAAATTGTCTGGTAAGTACTACCGGGTAAGCATTTAGTAAACAGTCCCTTAGTCAAATTTCAAAAACCTTGTTTTTTTTATTAATCATCAAATCCCTTGTGGTTAATTAAATACTGCTATTATGGTTGTCTCTTGTCGTTTTAATAAAATCACGTCTCATTCAAACTATCTTTATATGTACTCAACCCCTTACTTCAGGTTGATTATTCGGTTTATATTTGTTCCCCTAAAGCCAACAAGGGGCAATTAAGAGATTTTAGATTCGATACTGGAAAAAACTAACTGATAATATTTTATTTTATTTTTGTAAAAAGCAAGACCTTCTAATGAAACAAGTGGTGATGTGATGGTAAATGATGAAGACTTTCAACGAGTTAAAAGACAACCATCATGGAGTGTAATATTTGAACGGTGACGGATGGATAGTTGTAAGTGACAAGGAGCAACCTCGACGTCGTTAAATATGATGCATTAAGTTCCTAGACCTTTTAGGACAAGTTCAAAAAAGTGAGAACGATCAGTGCAAAACGATACCTCTCCCTACCCACATACCTATCTTAGGATTTAGGAGTTGTTTGTTTGCCTCTTAATAGTTTCATTAAGAGGCAACATCTGAATCATTATGAGGTAAATTTTGTTTGATAAAAAAAAAAATTTCTCTTAATGGTTCTAAAACCATCTGAATGATTTTGTATCTTGGACCTCCTTTAACCATTCAGCGTCCTAATGTCATTGTAAACAATTATCAAACAATTATATTTCATTTTGCACCATATCATAAGAGTCTTATAAAATTATATGTTCTATATAATAGTGGTTATTTGACGTTTTAAGACTAATTAACAAGTTTTAGGATACTTTTTATGAATGCATATTTTTATAGGACACTATTTTTTATAAGACATGTTCTCAAAAAGTATTATCCGATTAGCGCTTACCGTGTAAGAGACACTTACAAACCATCCATTCTTATGGTTGAAAATGTCATCCGACAAGGTAAATAAAGGTGACGATGACCTTGAAGGTAAACACCAACCCAGTAAGCATTTGATAAAACAAACCATATATTCGGTCCATATAAATCATAAATCATGTAACCTAAATACTTACAATTGATTTTTTAGCATATTCTTTGCTTTCCATTGACTCTTATATTTTATTAAGATTATAATTATCTTGCATTTTGAATTTTCCTGACTATTATTCTCCTAAAACATATAGGATTAGTTGAGGAACACACAAACCAATTTAAACAACCAAAGTTGATAAAAATGAACAACATATATTTAAATGATAATGGTTAATATATTAAAGGGTTAAATGCATGAAATAACAACCTACTTTCATATATTTTTTTTATTATAACATTCTACTTTTGTTTTTCTTTATTACAGCAATGTTCTTTCAAATTATTTTTTATTAAGACATCATATTTTAAAAAATCTATCCATTACAACAATGAATAACCTGTAATTTTACTATTTTGCTATTTCATATATTATTCGTAATAAATATCATCATATAATAATTCATTACAAATAATATTCATTGTGAATAGTCCTGTTTTTCCAACCTACCCCTTTCCACGCATATATTTTTTTGTGTCACCTACCAACGTTTGTTCAAACAAATGGAGAAAAAACGTGCCAAAATTTTCAACGTCTTCCACGTTTCGCCAACTCCTCAACAATTTCGCATCCTTTTGAAAAACCCTTTCGATTTCTTCTAAGCAATCAGAAACCAATTAATCTCCCTCACTGTTTATTCTTCATCTTCTTCTCCGTCAATGCTCCATTTTTCCTTGTAATCAACCCTGTTTCGGCCTCGACTCCATCTCCAAACCCCCAAACCAATCGATTTGGCATTGGTTTATATATAATGTAAGATCTCTTCTCTTAATTATCAACATTTTTGCAAGTGTTCGTTTGATATCTCCTTGTGTGGTTTTTATTAGGTGAATCAATTTCCAATCGTGATACTTTTCTTCTAGGTTTTATTTGCTGTTTAATCTGATATTTGAGATGCTCATTTGCTAGATTTTGATTTTGGAGTTGTTCTTGTTCGTTTGTGTTTGCTATGAATCTTCACAGCTTGTTCGATATATCGTTGATTTGTTATAGGAGTTAAAAGACTACATTGTCTATTTCTGATACTTACATGGAAGTTCAGAACCATATAAATTTGAAGTTTAAAAGTAGCAATTAATAAAAGTAATCTCTCTTGGATCAGAGGGATTATATATTTGTTATCTTTTTTTGATGGATTGTTGATATACTTCGTATAATTTGGGCAAGATTGTATACTCAAATAAACGTTAATTTTCAATAATTTGATACTGGTTTAGCTTGAATTCGAGTCACAGAATGTGGGATAGATTTCTATTGACTTGTGATCTGCAATTCGAATTTGTAATAACTTCCTGTTTCCACAATTAACGAATCATTTGTGGATTCAAACTAGAATGACTCTCTTATGTCTATTAATGATAACAATTTTGTGATCTTGATTCAAAATGGATATTTATACTCCATTCATCCCATAAAAATTGCAACATATGTCAACAATACCATCTGATCGTAAGTCATATATCTTAAATCCCCTTGAATAATGACAAATGGAAGAATCTTGTAGATTGAAACCAGTAGCTTCAATAATTTGTAAACGATGCACAAAACGTGTAGTTTTTAGCTTGAAAGCCTTCAAACAGTAACCTTGCAATTTTTGAAGTCAACTTGAAAGAGAGAGAGTTTTGATTTTCTTGGGACGAGTAGCATACATTTCTTCTGATGTAATGTTTAAATCTGTTCACTCTTTGCATAACAAGATTAGTAAATAAACCAAAGGGTCATTGACCCAGCGGTACTCAGCTTAGCTTCTCCGGAGGTCATGGATTCAAGCCTCACATGAAGAGTGTGCATGAGTATTTCCCGTATATAAACATTGTATACTTCAAAGAGAAAGATTTAGTAAATAACCGCCATGTTAGACGCTTTGTCTTCTTCCTGAATCAAATATGTTAATGAACTACTAGAAAATACTTGTGTTTCGTGATTTTCAGAATGCCTGCAACAGCATTTCATCAAGGTGTTGGTACTCTCCAGTCTCATGGACGTATCAGTAACTCTGCTCCTAATTATGAATGTGGAAATCTTTCAATGAGGTTGATACCAAAAGGTTTCAAGGTGGAGATTGGGATATCAAGAAGGGAACCTTCTAGAAAGAGGACCTCCATTTTAATGCAATCATCTTCTTCCCAGAAAACTGCATACAATCCAGTTTCAAGCCCATTACACAATGCCTCGAAGGAATCTCCAAAGAAATCAAGTATGCTATCTTGCTTTGGGAATGAATAGCATTTCAATAGACAAAAAGAACAAGCTTGTGGACTGAAATCATGACATCCATTTGTTTTTAATGTTGATAATGGGCAATAAGTGATTTTCAATTGGTGACGAGAAGTCTTTTTTGTTTCAGATGAAGCTGCTTTGATACTGATTAGGCATGGTGAGTCTCTATGGAATGAGAAGAACTTGTTCACTGGTTGTGTTGACGTGCCGTTGACGAAGAGGGGTGTGGAAGAAGCGGTGGAAGCTGGTAAGAGAATAAGCAATATACCCATCGACATGATATATACATCTGCACTCATTCGTGCACAGATGACCGCTATGCTTGCCATGACTCAACATCGCCGCAAGAAGGTAATCATACATACATCATCTACGTGTATACATACACCTTTAACATATACAGGGGCAGGTTCAAATGAGAACCGTAAATATTTGAGAACCTAAGAACCAACTATTCATGTTTTATTCATGATGATCGAATTAATCGAACTTATTTGTAGGTACCAATTGTCATGCACAATGAGAGTGAACAGGCGAACGCCCGGAGTCAAATCTTTAGTGAAGAAACCAAGAAACAGTGTATTCCAGTAGTCACAGCTTGGCAACTAAATGAAAGAATGTAAGCATTTCTAGCATTTTTCATGTTTGCAATTCATTTCAACAAATTTCTTCATCTAACATTGATTTTTTCTTGTGGGAATTCAGGTATGGGGAATTGCAGGGTCTAAATAAGCAGGAAACTGCAGACAAATATGGAAAAGAACAAGTTCACGAGTGGCGTCGTAGTTTCGATATACCTCCGCCAAATGGCGAGAGTTTGGAAATGTGTGCTGAAAGAGCCGTTGCATACTTTAAAGAACAGGTAAGAATGACGTTTTGTTTTCATAAACCTTGGCAAACAATTTTTTGCTTGTTGATCTTTGACTGGACCTTCAATGTCGTGCAGATCGAACCACAACTTCGAGCTGGAAAGAACGTGATGATCGCAGCACATGGAAATTCCTTGAGGTCTATCATAATGTATCTTGACAAACTAACTTCCCAAGAGGTACAATTTTGTTCTTACACAATTATCCTTGACAACATAGAGTCAATGTTTGACTTTCAAGAGTCAAATGGATAGGTTTTTAACTTCAAAATGAATAAGAAATGTTTCGATTACAGAGAAAACCGTTGATAGCCACATTAGTTTATGAAAAGGATATTACATTGGGAACATAATGAGCCAAAAATTGAAAGATGCCAATGTAAAATTTAAATTTGGAAAGTAATAGGTTTTGAAAGTCAAAATTGGACCCCTACTATTAAACCAAACCACATAAGTTCTATATCTCATTTGAGGTGGGGTGAGGCAGAGGCAGACAGAGGAATTTTTTCGAGTGGCAGCACCATTTGACTAGAAAACACGAAGCAGTCGAAGCTATGTATACTTTTCAAAAGTCCATCATTGGTTTGTTGGTTACTTCCTTAGTTTTCGTATGTGAGGTTTTGTGTTCAAGTCTTTTATTGCAATTTTTTAAAAACATAATAAATCTGAAATTAACAGCCAAAAGACTAAGAAAACGGTTGATTACGGGATTCAAATCTACGCCTAGCATGGGAGAAAAGTGGTCCAAACCAAACTCTGTCAAGACAAACTTATGTTATTACTGTAGTTTCAAAATATATACGGTGGCACCCAAGACCCAACATCACAATACATTGCACCTATCACTAGCCTAAGTTTTTTAGCTTGCGACAGAGGAACCTAGCGGTGGCCTGTGACATCGTATCTAATGAACTGGGTCCGTCCCTAGGGTCAGTGGTGGGATGTAGGCAGAGAGTAGAGTTGTTGTTTTCGTAAAGACTGTTTTCTATCAAGTTCACCTTAGCATTAATTTGTTGGTTTGGGAATCTTGAAAATCATTTGTTTTTCTATTGCCAGGTTATAAGTTTGGAACTATCAACCGGGATACCGATGCTTTACATTGTGAAAGAGGAAAAGTATATCAGAAGAGGAAGTCCGGCAGCACCAAGCGAGGCTGGTGTTTACGCTTATACTAAGGTACACGAATCAAAGCTAATGTAACATTCGGTCGTAATGTTGTTTCTTGAAATTCGCGAAACCATATTTCCTTGTCGTAAGTTACTGCAAATACGTTCTAATTTGATGTGGGTTTTTATTTGCTATTACAGGATTTGGCTCGATACCGGCAAAAGTTGGACGAGATGGTACATTGATAAAATTACAAGGTTTGAAACTCGTCGAAGAATCTTTTTAGTTTAAGCCAAAGGATGTTCAGATATGGTGTTTTCAAAGGACCATGTATGCATCTTATTTCGCAGTTTCATAGTAGTCAAGAAAGAGAGAAAAAAGCAACTCTACTCTAATGTTTTACTATATAAACTTGGGATCAGGTGCGAGACCTGTGAGACCACATAATAACACTAAACCTGTGAGACCTGTGAGACCACATAATAACACTAAACCTTCAGTGTTTTTACCGTGAAGGTTGATCTTTTTTGTATCTTTACAATGTTTTACTGTGAAGTTTCAATGTTATTTTATGGTTTCACGAGTTTCATGTGAACCCAACCCTTAAGGTTTGAGACTTGGATTTGAATCTCACGAATGTCGTTAACTTCATTAAAATCACGTCAAAAAAACCTAAACTTAAATGTTGGGAGGTCATTTTTTGTTATATACAACAAAACTTACAAACATGCTATTACCTCGAGGCTTGAACCTTTGGCCTCCACCTCTTCCGAGTTTAGGAGGTTGATTGGTATATATTGTAAAATTTTACAATGTATTTGTTTCACTATGTGAAACTTTTTGACGTGTCTCTGAAACAAAAAATATACATATAAAAGTTTCATATTGTGAACCGAATACATATTGAACAAATACATTTTTAATCAACTAGAAGGGTATTCGCACATTGCAACGAGGCATCTTGATTTTAATGTTTCGTTTTATATTTTGGGTCTATCAATATTATGATGCTATATGGTTATGAGAAAAAGAAAATGTTTTTATTTTTGAATGAAATATGAATTTGAAGATATTATAAAATTTTAGTGATATTAGTATTCCATTAACTATTTAAAAGTTCTCGTTTTTATGTAATTTCTTTGATTCAAGTTTTTATTATAATTTAATTGAAATTTAAAAACAAATTTAATTTATATTTGATTTAATAATATAATTTTTTTTATAAAGATAATAATTAATTATTTTGTTAGAACTCAATAATTATCCTAATTATATTTTAAATTTTTTATATTTTAAAATGAGATATTTATCCTCTATTTGATTATATTTATCCGTAGTTAGTTACACGAATTCAAACATGAAGCTTTAATAAGTTGTACTTACGCACAATTTACTTGTAATATTGAATTTTAAGTAATATGCATCAATAAACAGTACTTCATACATAAAAAACGGTTTTTAAAAGTTTTTGACAAATACTTTATAATATAATATAGATACATATAATACTAGCCTATAATGAAAAAAAATTATGTGAAACAATACCTTAAAATAAAAGTTGTTACTGTTGTACAATACTTCTCATTTCATTATGCCCCTCTGTATATATGACACCCAATTTGGGTCAAATGTGCCGGAAAATAACGAACATATAGTTTACATATAACAAATTACCAGGCGTATGGAAAAGTTAGATAGCTTTGAGCAACATTACAGTAGGATGATAACCAGCTCCATGACTACAATTTCCCTTGAAGATGATATGTTATTCCGAACCCAAAACTAAGCATTTCGTGCGAATTTCATGGGTAGAAGTTTGCATGTTTTATAGAAGAAAGCCTTCAGTTTTGGCGTAATATAAAGCTGCTGCAAGTAAGATGACGATGAGGAGTATGATCCATACGCTCACTCCGCCTAAAAACAAATGTAAAAGGGCGAGCATCAACACATACACGACTATTAATTAACGATAACTCATCATGGTTTTGGGAGGCAAAGGGATTACAGAAAAATAATGATCGAGGCAGACATAAAACAGCTTATAATTAGAGCAAAGTTGGGAAAACCTCCACGTTTACCAAGATGTACACTAATCATTTGAGAACCATAAAAAGGTTACAAACCCGTAACAACCAATCTCTATGTCTATGTATTGTTTCACGTGATCTTTTTCATAAAAGGTCAGGATTTAAGGTAGCATTTCATATATATTTGTTTTGCAATGTTGAAACTTTTTTACGTGTGATTTTTGTTTCACAATATGAAACAAAACAACGTATGTTCATATGATTCACTTGTTTTCACGGTTCCCAACCTACTTCCTAAATTGGTCAACATCTTTCATAATGTCTTTATTAAGTGTTAATACTGTATGCGGCCAGCATTACAATTTGGAGGAAACGAGATGGGTGCAGTTGATCAACAAGCATATTCAGCACTAAATGGAATACGGTCGTCCAAGTGAGCCTATATGGTCTAAATCTTTTGGTCCAATATTGTATCGTCCAACTGTCGAAAATAATGCAAAACAAGGAATCACTTTCAAATATGGATCAAGCAAAAACAGAAGTATAGGTCCCTTGGTGTTTGTATTTTAATGGTCAATAACGTTATTATTGGCTCCTAAAGTGTAGTGACCATTAACAATTCCTTACTTTAGGCCTGAAATTGGCAAATCTAGAGCACCATACACCTTTCCTGCATCAAAGTTGTAATATTACTCTGGATTTGGGAATTATTTCTCCATTGAAAAGTTATATACCCAAGACAAACCCAACTTGAGCTTAAAAACCGAGGAAGCCAAAAGAGTTGACGAATCATGGGCCACAAGAGCTGAATAGCCATGAAAACGACACTGGCTACTCACACGGTTCAATGGAAATATGTGACCAAGTTCAATGGCGACACTGACTATTTTGTAACGATGTTAATTGGCAAATAGATAACTTTAGCTTCAAATTTTGCAAAAAGAAAAATGATCTACTACAGTTTTTCATGGGATGGAAGGAGCGTCACTAGGGTCTCCCTTTAACATTAGCACCAAAATCCAGAAGCTCTTTTGCTGTATGAAAAGGAAACTATTGTTGATGAAACAAAATACAACAATAATTTCCATTTTGCGATATCCTGTTAGAAGTACAACTTTGCAAAAAAATTGAAGCTAAAATTACCCATTTTGGTTTCGTCCTAGTTACTGAGTCGTTAACTCTATTATTTCTTTTTCCTTGTTTGAAAATGGTCGATTCTAGTCAACATGATTCCTTCATTTCATGATTACTAAAGGTTTTAGACATGTGACTCATAGTTAAACACTTCCATTAGGTGATTAAACCACTGCAGTTTTCATAGAATGGAACGTATAACAACCAATAGTTCACATATTGTCAGAGGAGGAAAAGAGATGCATACCGTTTTTGGTTGTTTCCTTTATTAGTGTCACTCTTGCACTTGAATCAAAAGATGCAGAAGCCAACGCCCTGTATTTTAAACAACTCGTTTAAGTGACATATTGTTTCAAAAGCAATGAGTAGTGGAAACCTCATCTTCCTGGGTTCCGAATCCAGGCGCTGCCAAAGCCCTTATGGCCATGGAGGTTCACCTACGATGACTCCAGGCCATTCATGGTCGCCCGGGGGATTAGGTGGTGAGCGTAAGCTGGCCCAAAAACCCATGATTACCTAAAAGAAGTGTTGGATGACTAGTGATGAATATAGAGAATGAACCTTGAATCATCGGAGAATGTAAGTGCTGTTACAAGTCCCAAATGTGCTTTCTTAACTACAGTCTGTACCTTCATGCTACTTGAATTCAAGATAAGAATGTCTCCTTCGATTGTACCACTGCCATTTTCATGGAAGAAAATTAGTCAGGGAAAAGAAGGTGAAAACACTTGATGATACGTACATGGCCAGATAAAAAATGTTAGAACGTGTTTCTTTTTTAGACACAAAGAAGCATCATGCACTAGCTGCAGTGACTGAAAATACTTTCTATTTATCGATAATGTCAAAATACTTTAGAAGAAAATATTTAGCATGAGAGTTACTCCTCTGTCTTAAAGTGAGCGTCCACATTTCTACTTTAGGTTGGTACCAAAACAAGTGTTCACTCCAATTCTACCCTTAATTGTGAGATTGAGCAATTCATTACTCCCTCTATTATTAAGGGTAAAATTGTCATTTAGTTAATTAACAAGTTTGACAATTACATATTTCTAAAACTGCATGCCTTTTTCATTGTGAACATTTATTTTGGACGAAGGAAGTATCTCAAGTATGCAAATACAATGTTTAACAGGTCAAAAACCATCTAAAAATCATCTATAGATTATTTATCTCAAATATCTTATCAACTTGGAGACTAGTAATCATACCAACAAAGTTGAGAAAAGAAGTAAGCTCTTACATGGCAAGGAACTTCCCATCATTTGATACACTGAAGGCAGAAATCGGGTCTCGTACGATGTGCTTTGAGCTTATCCGCTTCCATGTTGTGGTGTTCCACTTCACGATACTTCCTCCTCGATCTAGCCAAGTTGAAAAATCCATGTCATTAGTCCACAAGAGCAGGTAGTACCATACTTTAATCAGAAAATAAATGCAAAGATTTTTTTTTGACGATGTCTGAAAATAAATGCAACAATCATCTCTTTGTAAAACTTTGGACTAAACACCTGTTTTACATCATTAACAATAATTATAAAAAATGGCTCGCATGATTTTGGCCAACAAGGTTTTCCATGTCATTATCTGAGGGAAATTTTTAAATATTTGAATTTGACTAATAGTCATAACACTTCAAATTAGCTGTGTTCAGTCATGAAAAGTTGCATTTATTTTCTGACAAATTGCCTATTCATCATTTATCATGCAAGTTTTGACATTAACAATACAAACAATAGAATTGGAACATTAAAGAGATGAAGCAATAAAAGCATAAAGTAGAAGAATGTCAAGTAAGCAGATGCACCTCGCATTGCAGTGACATAGAGAACTTGATCATTCTTGCTATTTTGTGAGAACCTACAAAATCCGAAAACTTCATCCTGAATGGTACATGTGACTGAAATTAGTATAAAGTATAAACCAAGCTGGATCTTAAAAACATAAAACGTGAGGAAAATGGATTTAGCAGCCTACGAGGGAACCTAATTATTTAGCAGTTGCATTAAGATTACATGGCAAATAGATAAAAATGCCAAGGTTTCAGAAGTTATTAGACCAGAAGGATTGGAATATTACCAACCCAAATAAAACTCATTGCAACTTTAGTAAGCAAATAAAAAACTTGCACATCTTTTGAAATGGAACTTCACAGGTTACCGAAAACATGTGCATGCCCATTGCCATGCCCATATACGCAGGGCCAACCACCGAGAAGGCGAGAGTCGCCTTCTTATAGATCATTAAAATATATAATCATTATCATATACTCCCTCTGTCCAAGAATAAGTGTCCACATTCCAATTTAAGTTTGTCCTAAAATACATGTCCACTTTCAAAAAGTAGATAGTCATAATTTACTACTAGATTTCCTACTCTATCTTTAATTGTGATGTACAAATATTTTAGAGTTGATGAGATGGAGAGAGAAAGAAGGTTTGCTTTATTCATCGAGGATAAAATTGTCATTTAGTTAATTAAAAAATGTAATAATTACACATTTCTTAACCTCTGTGTTTTTTCATAGTGGACACTATTTTGAGACGAAGGGAGTACGGCCTTAGAAGATACAAATCAATGCTTACATTTTCTTTTGGTAAAGAGGCTTTGGCCATAGATGATGAGATATCCCAGACCCTACCAGGGCCACTTCCTACTGAGACAATAAATTTCCCATCAAGGCTGCAAGACAGATAAAGGCCAATAACATCAGATAACATGCAGAATTGGATTAAAATATAAGCCTGATGCAGCAATTACCATCAACCTGAAATCTAAATTCTTCACAGAAGTATGAGCCTTCGGTGCATCAAGAACTAATGCCATGCTAGGCCACTTGAACACCCTCAATGTACCATCCTGTACTTCACCATAATTGCATGGTTAAAATCCATATAATTCCTCAATTAAAGGATAACATAATGAAACTGCATTACATGAAACAAGCCAGATGGAGCGTAGAGCACGTAAGCCTGCATTTGAACATTTTGTATGAAAAGAGATCAATAACAAAGCTAGTTGAGACCTATATCCCTCATGCCAATAGGTAACTGCCTATGGAGATATTGCATTTTTTCGATGACCGCTTACCAGGAATTAATTTTCAAAATGAGTTTGGCATTGAATTGTTTATGCTAAAGAATAAAATAAATTCTGTTTCAGCACTCTTTCCATCTTTAACATAGGAAACTCAAAAGTTGTACTCATTCCACCTCTCAATTTCATGTGTAGAGATTATGCTTGAAGAAAAAAATAACTGCACTGGTCAAGATTTTCCAAACTTTTAAATTCCCATTCAAAGGAAAATGTAGAGAGCAACAGGTGTCTAAAATAGAAGAAGCTTAACATAATGTATGTTGCTTTATTGTTGTGCTAACGGGTTCATGAACAAGCAATCACGATAAGTCTTCTCAACTTCAACGTGCTTTATGACATTAACAAAGAAGTAGTTGTGTACTTGTGTTGAATGTCAGCATTTTCAAATCCCATGAAACTTAACATCCCACAGTTTCTACATAGAAAACCACAAAAGCTAGCAGCATGTCAAGCCAAAATCTCAATTATTTCGAAAGAAATCCTTCAAATTAAACACAAAAGCAACAAAAAGCATGGTTATATCTTTTAAAAAGATTTTCAAGCATCTGCTTTTATAAATAAATATCACCATCTTTTTATTTAGATATAACTTTTTCTTGGTTATAGACGACACTGTCGCATACTCCAACTTTAACAAACTTAACTGTGCCAAGCTAGTGAGCCTAGAATGTAACAATCATGCACCCAAATAGAATGAGTGAAGCAGAGACTAAGTCGTGTTGTAATGATATTCAAAACATGTACAAGATTGGCTCTACCTCACCACCAACTGCAAGTAAAGAACCATCATGGCTAAAAGTAACTGCCAATTGTTGTCCAACATCTTCCAATTGTTCAAGCACTTTCTCAGACGGCTTTAGACTCAAATTGATAATATCTTCATTCCTGATTGCATCCCACTCAAGCCATCTACGCACCAAAATATGCAACGATACAGTGTAGCACCAAAATTAGCCAGTGACACCAAAGACAATAATCCAAAAGAAGTTTGAACATCAGTCTCATATTTCTACTTTGCTGATCATGGGCCAGCACAAATGCACAATACTTGGATGTAACCTCCCACACTCAAACAAAGGGAATTTCTACTTGCACCTTCAATGCAGGATCCTAGAATTCACCTTTTCTTTTATATAAATTAGTTTATCGTATTGTGCTAAGTCACCAACTCATTTAAATCTAAAGCTATTAGGGGAGGCCACAAAATGACAACAATGTACATCATGCTCATGCTTAGCACTCCCTCCATATAAAACACTTATTGCACCAATAGCACACAATGAGACAAACTGAGGTGCAACAATATGCCTGCACAGAAGAGAACAGAAACCACAAGACATATTTGGGTCCAATTAATGAAAGCAAAACTTGAACTGAAAGCAGATATCTGATGACATGTCAACCACCGACTCGGTTAAAGCCTAACTTAGTTAAGGGGTGGAAATAGCAAATATACCAGCATTGGAGCGTAATGTGTAATAATGTTGTTTTTACTTATGGAATAGGGGTGGTCGATCTATGTATCCTAGCCACCATTGCAAGGGTTAGGAGGAATCCATTGTACACAATATTCCTTTAATTTTTTAGTCGATGCTGCTTTCATGATTCAAACTCATGACCTTTAGTCCCCAAATTATTAACCTTACCTGTTCTTACAAGGTTTGCACCTTGGTGGTCGATGTTCTGGTTCTCAGAGATTGTGAATCCGAGACTGAGAAGTCTTAACATAAAGCATAACACAGCTGTTCCCAGAGGCATTTCCATTATAAATATTCATGTAGACATGAGTGGAAAAGTTTTGAACATAAAATAAGATGGCAGCGAAAAAGAGAAAGAAAACACAGACACTGTGTTATGTAACTTATGTTCCCAGAAAACCATGGAGCAAACACACATGTATATATGAATCATGGGTTGAACAGATTTAGCTTCAGCCAAAAGCTACAGACTGTGATTAGTTAAACAAAGACATGCTACTTCAGCTCGCACGTCATCTTTTCACTATAATTATTTTTCTTTAAAACCATGGAGTATACTTAAGTTTATAGTTATACACACTTCATGGCGCAAGAGATGCATGAAAACAAACTTCAATATTGTGTTTCCTAAAAGCACTGGACAATAGGTAGTCCGCATTCATGCCACCTGAGCAGACTGAAACAATGATAGATACAAGGATCGTTAGAATATGCTTTTCCACCAAACAGCCAGGCGCGGCGGGATTCCTACCAACCCGTAAGGTAAAAATGAGACCATGTAATGACTATATCACATAGATGGAAATTATCAGCAAAATAATTTTAACATCTTTGAAGTAGAATAGACTATCATCCAATGCAAAATTTATATACAAATAGTCACACATGAATTTGTTTGGATTCTTTAAAGATATGGCAAGATAAACCTAGGAACCGAAGTGATGAACCTTAATTCCCATTTGAAACCAATCATGGCGAAGTGTCAAGGAATCTCACAAGGTAGCCAATGCAGATCAAGCGTTTTGCTCTCAAATCTCTAATTTAAGTAAAACATATCGTTATTAAAAATATTATCTATAATAACTGTTGAAGACCTATAACTTGTTTCTAACATTTGGGTGCTTAAAACCCCTGCACCCCATAGTTCAGAATTACCTGCAACTTTTCGATAACGAACATATTACACCTTCTCCTCCGGGATGAACAGCCATTCTGTAGGGCAGATCATTGGCAGTTCCAAGTATATCCACCTTATAAAGAGAGTCTAACTGTTAAAATGTTTCTATTTCTATAAACCATAACCAATTCCAAACATCAAAATGCAGAGACACTAGAAGAAGAGTAAGTGCTCATGTATTAATATATGCTAAAAGATATCGACGGATTACTCAATAAGAGAAGAAGGTTAGGTTAGTCAATATATTATATATATTTTGTCCACATGAAACAGGAATTATTACGCCTAGTTAAAATCTAGCCCAAGTATGCTATTGAACCATAAGTAAACATTTAAGTGGTACATAGTGTAATGTTGCTCCTGCATCCCTATGTGAACTTTTTGATCTCTCTGTCTCTTACAAATACAATGTCTCTCCCTCAAGCACGTATACATGTGATCTTTACCGCTCGTAGCTGATGCACTCGCACAATTCTCATCCTTCTTAAGCCAGTCCCCATCGGGGTATGGTGGAGCATGATTTCTCTAGTATTTAAAGACATATTCATCCACGTTAGGACTACAAAGTTGGCATAAATATGTTGGAACCCAACCTGTGGTACTCGAATCATCTAGGATAGGATAACTTGGAGTTTACTCATAGCATTTTTTGAGATGAGCATCATGGAATTTTTGTATCATAATATTTATACCATGCTTAGAATTCACTTGTATACCCATTTCACCTCATCTCATATATGCCTTGTACCACTTGCCAATTACATGACCATCACAGAAGAACAAAATATAACCCTTATGATGTCTTGTCCTTTTCAAAGTGGTATGACCAACCCACGTGCTTGGTGACATGATGACATCATATTCGCAGAGAGATGCCTTCTCTTATGGGTGATGTCTTCCTTTATCTTAAAGACTAGCTTGTGCCTATTCCTATGCCCCAAACTATAGGCGAGTCAAATTTTACATAAACGAGCTCAAATTATTTGATTTTGGGAGCTTTTTCCTCGAGAACCGTATTGCTAAGGTATGACCAAGTAATGATCGATGTCTAAAAAACTAATTGGTAGGACCATCAATTAGCTTTGTCAAGGCAGTTATTGAATCCCTACATAGCTACAATAACAGGTCATATTAAATGGGAATCACAATTCTCACACAACGGAATCAATCTTCTTTAAATAAAAGTAAGCTGGTTCTATTGATAATCTTTTCACATTTGTGCAAAATCTACTTTTTATGTTGTCCATAAGTTTGGAATAGCACAAAGTAAAACCCTGTTATGAGAAAAGCTGGTAACGACATAGTTGGCATGATTTTTAAAGTAACTCTTAAAACAACATGGTTTATGATCTTATTGAAAAAGAACTATGACTAGAATTATTTCTTGCTTGTTTATCAAAGATAAGAACACTACATGTTAGAAAACACTCGAATTATATCTTGATAAATATATCTCCTAATAGGTAGTTTAACAATGAGTTCACAAGGGCTGTTTTAGGATTCAAATTTCAACGGTCAAGTTGTTTTTCGCCTAAAGGATTTGAGGAACTAGGTATTTCGATAGGGATTAGTACCATTGTCATAATGTTATCAATGTAATTTCAGTTAGAAAGGCTACTTGTCGTCCTTTCAAGCCTTCATGGCATTTGTAATCATCAACTGGGATCCCTTTGAGAAATCCATTTTCATTACAATTTCAAATTCTCACCCAAAAAAAAAACAATGGATTCGTGTAAAGTCGGGCAGAAACTATGCTTCTCTTCATTGCTAAAATCTCGAGAAAATAACATGTGATAACTTTTCCTTAACCTATCCAGTTATACACGTTAATAATTTCAAAAAGTGTATGATAAAGATGTCAGTTTTATGTAGGTACATTTAAAGAGTATAAGCAAAATGGGAACTCACCGGCTGATCAGAAAGGGAATTGGAGGTAGAATCGAAGAGTGAGATAATGAGGGCATTAGGGATGCCACTTCGACCTTCACCACCGCCACCGGCAAAAATCACGTAATTTGATCCATTACCAGAATCCTCGTCTTCTTGCTGTGGTTCTCCATCAGATGATCTGAGTGCATTATTTGGGACAAAGGAAGCACCATATAGAGGAATTCCATACTTCTTACAGTTCTCCTCCATCACCTGACCAGACTTCAACCTTAAACACTTGTATGACCTAAATTAACAACAAACAGAGCAATTATCAACTGGAACTAGCTTCTAGTCAACTTCAAAAACTGAATCAGTCAACCCTAATCTACATCATCAATCAATCTAAAAAAATGTTGCAAGAAATCAGTTTAAAAAATGGAAGTATGATCCGTTCAAATATGGAGATATGTTATGCAGACATCAAACATCAATTTGCAGAAACATTCAATTTACCTAATTGACGCTTGCTGAGAATCGACCGACTCTGAATGTCGAAATACTGGAGTCCAACTGTCCAAGGCAAGACAAAACTTGTAGTCCATCTACTCCACCATGAACCTGTCCTGTTCTTTGATCAATTGGCAATATCAGTCCCTATCTTTACGGAAATAAGTTTTTGCCCCCTCGCAATCAAAAATCATAACATTTTACTTGTCATAATATGATATAAGAAAATATTTATATTTATTAAATATTTTTCAATAAAATAACACAAATATATGCTTAAATTGATATCATCAATTCGTTTGTAAGATTGATAATGTAAAAAAGACAATTTTCCAATAAAACATTTTTATGGTATACCAAAATAAAATGTACAAAAATGAGTCGGATTTATAATTTTTTTTATTAAATGTGACATAAAAAAACTAATATAATATAAAATAAAACAAATTTATTCGAGAAAATTTTAGCTTCATTAAAAAAAATGATATTCGACTGTTTTTGGACAATAAATTGTAAACTATTGAAAAAATATCATACATATAAAATATGAAAACAGAACTTTTATATGTGATTGTTTGTTTACCTCTTAATAATTCCATTAAGAGACAACCTCTGAATCGTTAAGAGGTGAATCTTGTTTGGCAAAAAATAATCTGCCTCTTAATGATTCTAAAACCCTCTGAATGATTTTGTATCATGGACCTCCCTTAACCATTAAGAGTCCTAATTCATTGTAGACAATTACCAAATAATTATATTTCATTTTACATTATATCATAAAAGCCTCTTAATCATTCTGACCACTTAATCATTCTACTTTCGTTCATTTTAAATTCATAACTTCACTATTACAGATTACAAAAAATTGTTGTTCACATATTGGTTTTCTTATTCGTCATATAATACAATCTCAATGTTATGCTCTTTGTCTCCCACAATAAGTGAACGAGAGCCTTCTTCCAACACCATTAACCCATCTTTATTAGCCCTACCAAAATGCTCACAAGGCTTCACAACAAAATCAACTTCACCTCTTTCCTTGTCTCCTAAACTCACTCTTCGAAAACCCGCCAACTGTTTGATAAAATGTCCACTCGACTCCTTATCGTCCCACTTTGCAAACAGTAGCACAGTGTGATTACCCGCCTGCCCATGGTTCTCGACATCAACCACCACCGTGAACTTTGCTTTTTCACACAAGTCCATTCCCATCCAAGAAAGTAGCACGTTACGAGAGGGTGACACTTGGTTTGAGCCAAGATGAATCTTGTTTGGGATATGGGAGACAAACTTGTAGGAATGGGTCGAGTAACTAAGGCCATACCCGAATTTGAAAACTGTTTTGCCATTGTAGAACCGGTACGTACGACCAGGGTAGCCCGATGATGGGTCGGGCCTCATTCTCATATCCGTCATTGGCACGTTTGCAAATTCTTTTGGATACCAGGTCATCGGTAATCTTCCTCCTATGTAAAGAAAAGAAAAACATCTAGGCATTAATTCCATCTCGACATATTTGTTTCAGAGAGTGAGGTATTCAATCTCTTATAAGGCAACATTAGTCCCCTTCCCAACCGACGTGAGATCTTACACTAAATTCAAGGAAGTTTGTTTTGACTCCTATTTAGTTTAAAGAAGAATCTTTTTTTATCAAACAATATAACTAAGTTTCAAATTTTTCTTTATTTTTTACCAATTGTGACCAATAACTTCTTGATCTTGTAACATATGATGATGTGGATACTAAGTTTATTGTCCACTTTGTTGTAACCTTTTCGTAAACAAGTGTCCATGTCATCAAAAGATCAGCAGGTTAACGGTCAGAATGAGTACAAACTAAGAAATTTTGAAACTTGTTACATCTCCTTCGTTGTACTAAATAGGAACTAAACCAAATTTTGTTGCATTTTAATCCATTTCGCAATTTTGATGATAAAAAATTACCATAATTGACCTAAAATGTCAAGGTGTAATCTTACCTGGATTATGGTCACCAAAGATGATTTCAGCAAGAGCAACACCACCAGCTTCACCAGGGTAACCAGCCCACAAAATACTCCCAATTTTTGCATCATCTTTTGCAAAAGAAACATCCACAGGACCCCCACAAAGTAAAACCAACGAAACCGGTTTCTTCGCAGCTCGAGCCACGGCTGATACAAGAGCCTCTTGCTTCCCCGGAAGAACCAATTGAAGCCGATCAAGCTTCTCCCTTTCTTGACTTTGATCCAAACCCATAACCAGAATCACGTGATCAACCGCTTTCGCTATGCGAACAGCATCATTAATGGCTATAGAGGTGCAGTTCACCAAATCAACACAGCCCTGGTGGTACTGTGTGTTTTTCACATAGTTTTGGAGTGCTTGAAGAACCGTGATGTTTTTGCACGCCTCACCCTCATAGTTTCCGAGCAACGTCTGTGTGACATTGGCGTTGGGGCCTATGACAGCAATGGAAGTGGTTTCGGTTTTCGAAAGTGGGAGAAGGTTAGCGGAGTTCTTCAGTAGGACGATTCCATTTCTGGCAGCTTCAAGGGCTAGGTCCTGGTGTTCTTTAGAGCAGACTTGGTCAGGTCCGAGGTTGCCATAGATGCCGGTTTTCGGGTTACCATTGAACAAACCTAATCTCATTCTGATGGTAAATAGGTTCTCTAAAGCTCTGTCTATTTCTGCTTCTGTTACTTTGTTCTGTTCAACTGCTGATTTTGTGTATTTCTTTAAATAGGAACCACAGTTGACATCCATCCCTGCAAGAAAACTCGTTAAATTGCATGTTCTTTAGGTGAGTTTGATATATAGACGAGACTGGATGGGACAGGGCTGGGCAGGTCAGAACCGAGCAAGGTTTTAGGGGTTTAATTCGACATGGGTAGTTTAGTAATTTACCATTCTTGTCTCATTTCCCTGACTTTTATTCCACCTATTTTTGTGGGACGACTCAGGGGCTGTTTGGTTGGCTTTCAATAAAGTCCGGGCTACTATATATAGATCGTGAAGGTTTTTGTTTGGATGGTTTTTTCATAGATGGAAGGAGTGTGTGTTAATTGGGAGGGACAAATTTAGAATAAACTTGCTTCTGCATAAAGCTTCCCTAGAAGCTTATTGAATAAGCCACTTTTTATATCATTACACCACTACCAAACAATCACTTATAGCTGACCAAATAAGCTGCAAGTCTCATTAAGCTCATAAAGTTACTAACAAACAGACCCTCTCCTCTTGTCCCATCCCAGTTAAAATTTAGCACCAAACATGGAACAACAATTTTTGTCCTGTCTTGTCCTATCCTGTGTCTACGAACCATATGCATGCTTATTGCCAGCTCAATCAAGTTTCGCCTCTAAAACAATAAAGTGTAACGCTACAACTTAATAATGCATAAATTACCAGCTTTAAGAACACTGGCGACCGCATCTTCAGGTAACTTTGAATATCCTTGAACATCATGCATAATGGCAACTGGATCACAATCAGATGCAATGTACCTGTGATTATGGAACTAAGTTAAACAAACAGGCCACAATTAAAGATAATATTTTATTCAAGAATAAACCTAGAAAGCCAGAATCTTGACGCCAGATGTGCGAACTAAGATTCCGCTTCTGCAAATGTTTATATGGAAATCTTGATACCCTTTAAATCCCCAAGCCTCGCGAGCTGTTTTGGTTAAGAGATTGTAATCAGCACAATTTGGTAAACCGTTGACTCGATTATAAGCACACATTATCCCACTGGCTTTCCCTTCTTGTACACACCTCTGAAATGGTACTAGGTATGTATCTGCTAGATCTTGTTGAGTTATCTGAAACCCACAAAGTACAAGCATTATTGCACGAAAAATATGCTAAAAACTTGCATTGTATAATCCTACAATGCACGAGGGAGACTTACATTGGCATCAAAGTTGTAACGATTAGCAGTATTCCAGTTATCCAAATCATTGGCAACAAAATGTTTGCAGCAAGCAGAGGCTTGAAGGTGATCAGAATTCGGGTCGATTTTCCCACCTTCAAAACTATCACCTTGAATCCCTCTTACATATGAAACCGAATAATCTCCAACGACCAATGGGTCTTCGCCAGGTGTCTCTTGTCCTCTTCCCCATCTTGGGTCTCTTAACACATTAATGTTTGGTGCCCAAAATGTTAGCCCCTTTGCTTGACCTTCATTGTACATTGCTCTTGCTTCCCTCCCAATTGCCTACATATGCATTAAAAAAACTCGGTTTCTTTTTGAAGAACCAAACCAACGATCCCAGTATATCCCACACAGAGGTGGTCAGGTGGGGTTGGGATTAAGATGTACACAAACCTCTCCTCTACCCTAAAGAGTAGAGTGGTTTCCATGAAGACCCCGGCGAGTGTAAAGTGTGAGAAATGGAGAAAAAACGGATGTTTGACTAAAGGTCAACCATTTCTCTGAAATCATCAAACTAGAAATATCTCCTGTGGAATCTGATGTTGCTTTCATTTTTCATTTGAACCAAATGTTACTTGCATATGCAATGACTAAAGGTCAATAGATCAACTATATATATATATATATATATGTGACAAAAGGTCAACCACTAGTCTTAATAAAAAGATCGAAAGTAAGGTTGTCTCCCATTTGGACGATATAACCCCTAAACCACAAACCAAACCGGCAACAAACGACCAAACCAGTCAAACCTAAACAAAGAAATAGAAGGTATGTTCCCGACCAATATAGGTGGTTTGGACCTCTTATGGGATTTTAAATTTAAAAAAAAACATATAAAATAAAATTTCTACCAATATGATATTATTAAAAAGTATTATACCAAATTATTAAAAAAAATATTTATCTCCAAAATTTAAAATTTAAAGAACATCGATCAAGTTAGAAAAAAAAGTTAAACAAGTCAACCATCAATAGATGGAATTTTGACAAACATTGAGCAAGTTAATGCCCATTATGGATTTTGGGTATTGAAAACTATTATCTATACTACCTTTTAAACCAGATTTATCAAAAGTCTTAAAAACAATTTTTAATGCACAAGGTACTATACATTTATGCACAAAGTCTTAAAAACAACTCATAATGCATTAAGTACTACTACCATTCAGCCTTAAAAAAATTTAATTTACAATTAAAATAACACATAGTACAAGTTACCAATGCACATTATTACCTTTTTTTATGTTCCCAATATACTTTTGACACCTTTCACTCATGCTTCACCCTCTCATACCTATATGTCTTCTTCCCATCCCCAAGGTGAGATTCAAACTGATATTCACCATGAGTTATTAAAAAGTTCTCTCATTCATCTTCTAATCAATTGCTCTAGAACTCTAAGTCTCGCTCTCAATCTCTTGATTATTTGTTGTTGGTGTAAATTAAACACATTTGTGGAGTCGTTTAAATATGTTGGATTTTAAATATATTAGATTTTAAACTGTCAGACAATTTTTTTTTTCGATAGATTTTAATTGGAACTATAACTCTTATTTATTCAAATTGTATTAATATGTAAAGACCAAGTGTAACGTATATCATCGTTAAATCTTCTAAACTTTAAAATCGTTAAAATTCACGGCTCCGGCCGCATTGCACTAATCAAATTGGAAAACAATGTTTGCTCACTCATTTGACTTATAGAAGTTGTAGTCAACTATTGACCCAATCAAAATGGAACCTAATCTTGTTCAAGCATTTGATTAGCAACCAGCAATATCTCTAATCGGGAAATACGTTTTCGTTTAACCAGCTCTTGAAAAGTTGACAGCAAATAGAAGTTATCAAAACGTATATGTTACCCTATAAATCTCTAACAGTTCTTCAAAACTAAAATCAGTTGTTAAATTCATGAAAAATGGAAGATTCACCTGACCAATCCGATACCAGAGACTTGAATCAAAAGAAGCAGCCGTTAAAATGACTTGAGGGAACATAGTGGAGGTGGTAATGGTTCCGTTAAATCTAACACCCTTTCCGTGTCTAGAAACGCCGTGCAATGCCTCCGACCACCATTCGTAGGCGGAGATCCCAAGGCGAGGAATCTCCGGCGCTCCGTTCACCAGTTGCAATACTTTCTCGTCTAAGGTAAGGCGTGAAACGACGTCGTGAGCACGGTTGGAAATAGGTAAGCTGATGTTGCAGAACGGATATGGTGGTGTAGGTGATGACGGGTCGCATGAAAATGGAGGTGACTCCGCGGCGGAGACGATCATCATCATCATCGCCAGGCATTTGATCATCAAAACAAGACCAATTCTGGTGTGAGGTCTCATGATTATCGGGTTTTTAGGGTTGAATTTTGCACTAAAGTCACGAATTCTACACAGAGAGTGGGGGAGAAGAGGAGATAGAGACGACGGTGAGTGGCTAAGTGGGAGAAGCTTTTTAGCAGGCTCTCTGCCCCAACATCACAACATGGATCATGGATGTATCACCATGATATATTTTAATCTTAAAAGTTTATTGGAGTATTTTCATAAATAATAATAGGGAAAAGTCTTAAAAAAAACTTTAGGGGTTATTTGTTTATCACTTAATTATTTTATAGTTAAAATGCATAAAATAGCAATCTACTTTCATAAATTTTTTTATTATAACATTATACTTTCAGTTTTTCTTATTACAGCAATGTATTTTAAAACTATTTTTATTAGGACAATATATTTTGAAAAATTTACCCATTATAACATTGGGTAACCTTTTGCTTTAAATTTACTCATTATACTAGGTTTTCATGTCACCTCATTGTCCACGTAGGCTGTCCACATGTACTATAGTGATGTGACTTTCTTGTCATATCATTGTACTTTCAAAATTATTTTATTATAACATTTACTAGTTCTTATTAAACACTATATTTTTAATTTTTAATATTTAGATATTTTATATGTTATTTAATAAATGTATTAAATGAATTAAAAAAAATCTAAATTATTCATTAATATATCAATATCAATAAAACTAGTAGAATACAACTTATGTCGCTAATATTTTTAAAAAAATATGTGTTTTTTGAAAAAAGGAAAATAAGAATTGTTCATTTTTTTACCAAAAAATATTATCTTTTAAATAATATATTATATTTGTTCAAAAACTTTTTACTTGACGTATAAATATATTAAATTAATTAGACTTTTTTGAATTATTTATTAATATAAATATTTAAAAAATATAGATAACAATTTATTTCGTTAATATTTTAAAGAGAACTTTAAAAGATATGTATGTATGTATTTAAACAACATAAAAAATAGGAAAAGTTACTTTTTTTACAAACAAAATATATCTCGAAAATAATGTTTCATATTTATTTAATAAATATTTTATTCTAAAAATATTTAATTTGAATGCAACTTAATAAGAAAAAGTAAAAAAAATTAAATGTTTTTTTAGATCATAGCAATGAAAAATAAAAATCACTAATAATAATTTGAAATAAGTTTTTATTTTAATTTTAGTTAAGTCATCAAAATGATGTGGCATCCACATCACCTCATTAAAGCCACACAAGCAAAAAAGTCAAAGGGTTAACCGGTTTAAAAGGTAACAGGTTACTCATTGCTATTATGGCTAGATTTTTTAAAGTACAATGTCTTAATAAAAAATAATTTGAAAGTACATTGCTGTAATAAAGAAAAACAAAAGTATAATGCTATAATAAGAAATTTTATGAAAGTAGGTTGCTATTTCATGCATTTAACTCTTATTTTATTAAGAGGTAGTTTTTGAGTTACTAAGAAATGAATCTTGTTTGACAAAAAAAATATTTCTCTTAATAGTTTTAAAACTCTTTAAATGATTTTGTATCATGAGTCTCCTTAACCATTCAGTGCTCTAATTTCATTGTAAACAATTACCACACAATTATTTTTTATTTTGCACTATATCATAAGAGCTTTTTAATCATTTTGCACCAAACTATTCAGCAATTACTAAACAGCCCCTTAATAGACTTTTAGTGTTTGAAATGATTAAGTTCTTAAATAATTTGGAACAAATAAGTCTTTGGATATTTCAAAACATATTAAATAACTTCTTAGACTTTTTAAAATCTATTAGATACATACTTATAACCTATAAAATTAGTTAATGTGGTAAAATAATAGAAAAAGCCTAAAAAAAAGACTTTCATATTTTGGACGATTAAATTTCTAAACATTTTTCTGAACTAAAAAAATATTTATATATATATAATATGAAACAAATATACAAAAAATATACTTACATTTACAAAAATATACTTACATTTAAAAAATATTACTGATAAAATTTATTTTAATTAAAAATAAAAAATATTTTGTCAGTGATTTTTCAAATTAAAAAAATATAAAATAATCAGATTAAATTATTGAGGGGTTAATGATAAAATTTAACTAAATACATAATTATTTGAAATTCATCGCTATTGTTCATTGTTATATATGCATAGAATACTTATATCTAACTGATGTCTAACTTGACCATCGTCAGACGTTCTAACACAGTAACATATTATCAGTAATCTTTTTAAATTTAACTTTTTTGGTATATTTGTTTTATTTTATAGATGTAAATACTTATGTGGTTCAAATAAATGTTTACGGACTTAATCATTCGAAATATGAAAGTCTATTTGTTTTTTTCCATACTTTTTCAATTATTTTACCATATTAACCAGTTGTATAGGTCATAATGATGTATGTAACAGGTTATTTAACAGATTTTTTAATGTCCAATGACTTATTTGTTCCGAAAACTTGTCCAATGACTTAATTATTCCAAACACTAAAGTTCATTGAGGGTTTTTAGACTTTTCCCTTGATAATATACTGAAATAACAATCCATACTACATTGGTTTTGAGATACTGTATCACCATTTTTTTCAATACCGTGTGTCAATCAATTATAATTTATATTTAAAAATTTATATTGTGTATTAATTAAGGGTTTGTTTGATTTATAAAAATTGAATATATTTAGATTTTAAATCCATTCCAATCTCATCTTTGCTTTGCAAAATTGTTCGGGTTTGAAATTCCAAAATTTATTTAAGATCACTGAAACATTGGATTTTGAGATTTCAAAATCTCATAGGAATGGTTGGTATTTCACTGGATTTCATAAGATTTCTATATAATAATATAGTAAAATATGTTTAAAACACTCGTTTTCTAATAATTCATTAATAAAAAGGTAATTTCATTATTTTTATAGTTATTTATAATTTATTTTTATAAAAAATGAAATTCCATTCTATTAATTAATATATTTTATTATTTAATTTTTTTTAACATCTAGTTTCTATTAATTAGCATATTGTCTCAAATATATTATCAAAGGTTAAATTTAATTAACTTTTAAACATATCTTTTTTGGTTATTTTATATTTTTCAATTAACTTATCAGCTAGTTTTTGTCAAACGTATTTAGTTTATCAGCTAACTTATCAGTTATCAACTAGTTTACCATATAATAAATAGCCTAAATTAAAATAAAGAAAATACAAAAAATTAGTTAAAGTAAATATAAATTAACACGTGCGGTCCTTGAGTTAAATTACCATTTCTCTCATTCAAATTGTTTTTTAACTATTTTTCCACCGGGTTGACCCAAATGTCACCATTTCTGCAATATCCAGATTTGCAATATTGCAGACCTAGCTTAAAGCCAAAACAATTCAAATTTAATACAAATATGCAATTGCGACGGCCAAGTCCGCAATTGTGACGTTAAACTTGTTGAATTTTACCTTTTATTTTGTCTTTTAGTTAGGTTTGCAATGACTATCGCAAATGTAATGACATTTGAGTCAAACCGAAAAAAAAAATGATAGAAAATCAATTTAAATAAAAAAATGATTATTTGAGCTAATTTCTCATAAATGTGTTCGCAATTTTTTTTCTTACGTCACTAGAACTAGATCCAGATTCTTTGATTTTTTTTCTTTCAAATATATTATATATACATATATATTTATTTGGGGGCATATTAAACGAGAATCAGAGAAAATTCATAAATCCGTAAGAATCAATTAAAAAATATGTTATATTTGATTTCTTTTTTCATCAAATATTAGGATTTAATGTATTGTTTCCCACATATTCCTCTCATAATGTGATAGTGTCAGTTGTATTTGTTTCACATTGTTAAACATTTTAATCTATATTTTTTGTTTCGTTACGTGAACCAAAAAGATCATATGGTTTCACTACATGTACACTTGAAACAATAGTTTGTACCGGAGCATTTGATAGAAAAAGATCATGTAAAAAATATATTTTTTATATCAGTTCTTACAGACATGTAACTTTTTTGTGGTTCTCGTTTTATTATCGCCTTATACATATAATATACAACGTTAGACGAGGATAATATATTAAATATGTTCATTTCGGTGCATCTCATCCTAATGTGCATCAAAAGGTAGAGATTTATTATTACGTTTCTTACTTTAACTCTCATTCTCATCAAAACAGAACATGTGTGCATAATGATTGACATATGTTAAATTGTTTTGACTTAATTTTAATAAAACCCTCAAAAGATAAAATTTATCACTACAAGGATTATTACAATTAAACCAACTAGTTTTCCAATTACATTGACACAGTACAGTGATTTAGCACATCTTTCTGCAATTATAACAAGAAAAAAAAAGAATCAAAATGTTTTAAATAGGGCATTTGAAACCAGAATATTGGATAATTTTATAGGCGTGAAGTTTATTTCATATTCAGGAACGATAATGAGGTTTCAGATGCTCATGGAGGAAAGACAAAAAAAATGCCCTTGACATATTAAAGAACAAGTGAAATGTACTATTTGAAGAGTTTGAAACCAAGTAGTCAAGCTAATGAATCTGGAAATCTGATTTAAGTTTCTGACCAATAGTTCTTATGATGATTAGACATTAGTAATTTACAACTTTTATTGTTACAGTTACAGATGATCTTGGTGTTATTTTGTATATATTGGAACGCTGCCTTCACTTGCTCAAGAATATAGGAATCACTGACACGAGCCGTCTAGGGGAGAGAACAGTTGCTTTCGCTCTATCATACGATTTCCCATTAAACTTGGTTTTGGTACCTACATTGATGAGCGGTGCTTCTTCTTAACTTGGTTCGTCTGGATAATATATTTAGAAGCATTTTTTATGTGATTATGTGAGTACAAGAAGATATATTAAGTTACAAGGTACATAGATATCTTACTTAAACTTCATTTTGTGCTTAAATACCCATAAAAAAAAGCATATTTTCCTTTAAAAGAAGCAATTCCTAGAGTTCAAGTAGTTTTCTAGAGAATTTACGTACTTCTGCATAACTATGAAATTCAAGAGAATTTTTGCACAAGCATAACAATCAGTAATTACATCTAACTAATAACTATCTAATAAAACTGCAATAATCTTTGAAAAACGATTGAACACTTTATTGGTTGATTCTTCTTCGATCTTTTACATTCTCCAACATCAATGACTCATTCCTACCTCATTTTCTAGACTTAGCTGCTATCGAAGCTCCATCTACAAATGGATAAGACTTTGGTCCGTCTCATACTAGGTGCCTATGTAAATTATCTACTGCCCAAGCCACTAAGAAAATTAAGTTCGTGTCTGTGTAATGTGTATATTAGCTACTGCCTATAAATAAAATTATGTTCTTGAGTCGTTATCTTCACTCTATTAATCTATCATCAATTTTATATAATCATATATATATATATATATATATATATATATATATATATATATATGATTAACCTGGATATCCAACCCGCTATGCGAGCCGACTAATCCCAAGACGACCATCTGCTTTGCAGGTAATCCGGAGTCATCGCATTTGAACCTCCGTGGCCACACGGGGATTTTTGTTCCTTCTTGGATTTGAATATGGGACCTCCAGGCACTTTTGACATTTGGAGCCAAACTCAAACCAATCACACACCACCCCTTATGCTTTAAAAAAATCATATTTAGGATATTGACCAATGACAATATAAGTATCATACCTAAAATTGCAAATTAAGTGACAACATTCAAGTGATTTAGCTAGTGAAATACTAAATAAAACGATTGCACATTAGTGAGTAGTGACATAGAACATGGACTTAACTACTACACATTGGAGTGACACCATTCAAGTAAATTACTAATTTGACTAGTGCATATTAAACTGTTAGAGAACCAAATGAAAATATTCAAATAAATCAATTACGACCCATTTCAAGAATCAAGTTATCACATCCTAGTGATAACATTCAAATTTGACAAAACAAAACTGCATTTAAAATCAAATATGACAGTATTTGATTACTGTTTTTTATACCAAGACATGAGTGATTTGTATTGTTTGGAGGATTGAAATCGTAGTCGTACAGGGCACGAGCGAGAGAGGTAGACTCACGAGTGTAGAGAGCATTCAACGGATCACAGGTTCATAACCCAATAATCGTTCGTTCAAAATCACAAATCACATAGTCGAGAGAGACACTATGAGCGTTAGGGCATATGAGAGGGCAGTCGACATGAGTCTAGGGCATATTGTGTGAGAGAGTTGAGATGGTGGGAGGCTGAGAGGAAGGAGGCCGAGAGCCCAGATGGTAAAAAGTTTCGTCTTACTTAACCTATCGAAGCTAATACGTCGTTGTGCCAATGATGCTGCTTGGTGCTTGGACTTATGTTGCTCGTGGCGGTCGCCCTTAGGGCCTATAGCAAGGGCCGACCTTGTTCATATTATGTTGGTCACCAATACGAATCATGTTTTCATGATTTTCTCGCAACTCTTAACGAATAAGTGAACATTTTACGAATACATAAATATGCCTCCATGCTTTACACACATATATCTTTACTCAAATTATAAAATATTTGGTAAAAACTTCTTAAAAACAACTTATTAACGCATACTTTCTTAAATTCAAGTTTATAATTTATTATTGCATACTTGCAACTTTTTTAAACTCTACGTTCGAACTTCATATAACATATTGATAGCCCACTGGTAAACACATAACTGAATCTACTTTTAAGGGTATGGTTATCTACGAACCAAAAAAATAGGGGTAAGTGTAAATTTTTAAGTTCTTAAATGTGCAACCGCAAGGTTTTTTTAAGTGAAACCGTAAACATTAAAACTTTAGGGTTTATATGGAATAAGAAACAATATATATTCTATGATACCACTTCAAATAATTATTGAATTCGTCTCAGAATAAACATGTTCGAATACGTAATAAATGTTCGTAGTACTTAAACAATGAAACTACGATAAATTTTATATCATTATTTTTAAAACTAAATATTTAAATTAAAAAACGAGAATGTTAGATCATCTCCAAAAGCTTCTCCAAAATGAGGAAAATAGAGAAAATAGAGATTTTGAGCTAATATTTTGCTTCAATATTTTCCTCAAAATTATCTTCAAAACGGAGAAATTAGGAGAGAGAATAATTTTTTCTTCAAATATAGAGATCATCTACAAAATGATTACTAAGTGAAAATACCAATAAAAAACTCTAAAATATCTAGATTTTTTTTAAATAAATAAAATATATTAATATTATAATCAATATTGGATTCTCTAAGATAATGAATGAATTTTTTATTTTTGAAATTTTAATTATTGTTTTTAGAGAAGTTTTGAAGAATTTCTCAAGCTTTTACTTTTTAAGGGGTGTTTGGGATTGCTTATTTGAAACAACATTTTCTATAAAAGCATTTATCAACTTATTATAAGTTAAAATGGTTTAATTTTTTCAAAAATTCTTTATTACCGATTTGACACCGGTATAAATTATTTATCCAAATACTTAAAAATATTTATTACCGATATCATACCAAAATAAGTTAATAAATTGTTTTGATAAGCAATCCATAACACCCCGATGATCCAAAGCATCAAATTGTACAATTTTTTGACGGGTTTGTTTTCGGACAGGGCCCAAGCCGCGCCTCAACCTTAGTTCCACGACCAGGGCTTCGTGCTGCTCACGTGAACGGCGCTTCCGCCCCTGCCTCTTGCTTTCCCGTCGTCTTAGCAAACCCTAGCCGTTCGTTGTCAGGTACCTCTTATTTTCGAGTTTTTGCTTTCAAAATGCTTCTACGTCTCTAGTAATATGCTCGGTTTTTAGACTTGTTTGTGTGTTATTTGATGATTTTACTTCATGATTTTGCTAGAATTAGTGAAATACTAGTTGGGATTTTGCTTTTAACGGACCTAAAAACATGAACGTGCTGTTAAAGAGATTTCCTCTTCTTCTTTTAGTTGGAATTAATTGAGTGGTTGATTTTTGAGGAGTTGGCCACTATAGGATCAAGAATATATGGGGTTTCTGATTTTTCAATTGATCTCTACCGTAAACTCGCCTCCTAAGTCCCAAATGTGATCATTTAGGCATGCACTTACCGTTATTAGCAATTGCATATAAAAAAACTTCAGATACACATGCACAAGTGATACATTAATGCACATTTTTCTTCTCTTTTTTACATTCTTTTGTTGTTATTCAGTCTTTCGTAAAAATTCATATGTTCTTGATTTCCATTATTTACCGTATGGATTTAAAGATATATCAATCAAACGAAAGGGTCTCTGACTCTCCCTTCATTTTTTCTTATCATAAATTGCAGAAATAACAGATTAGGTTAAGTTCTTAAGAAAATCAAAAGACACAAAACACAGATGAAAAAAGCAAAGATAAAAGCAACTCAAGCAAGGGAAAAGAGATAATTAAACAAAGAATAAGCCTTTTTTCAAGGGGACTCTCAAAACCTTATAACATTTACATTTGACCAAGCTACAAGCCCGATCTTACAACTGAGCAAATGGATTTGGTAGAAACATAGTCATCAGAAGATGTCCTATGCTATTTAATTGAGCAAAGGGTTGTTTACTACTTTACTTGGTGCGTTGCGGAAATAAATTTAAACTCTTACTGAATCAGCAACCAAAATGTTGCTTACCTAATCAGCCCTGTGAAATGCCTACTGATTTTATCGTGCCTCACTCGTTCTCAGCTTCTTGCATCTCTCTTTATCTTGTCGTTCGTCCTCGACTGTTCCTCCTCCTCCTCCTTTGCAAATCAGGTGAGCCCATTCCTGGCTGTTATTTTCAGGGCTCCATGGGATTAGTCGAGTTGTGCACAAGCTAGCCTTGGTTACCCAAAAAATCAGACCACTCTTGATTGATTTTTCCAAAGCTGTTAAAATTTCATCTGCAAGCTAGAGTTTGTGAGGAAAGCAACACAGGGTTCTGCATTACAATCTTGAAAAAAGATGCCGAGTATGTGAGAGTACACATCATTGTTCAAACAGTGGTAAAGGAGCAAGGAATTTTAATTTTTTCAAGCCAAATAAGTTTTGTGCTACTGACTTATTATCCTGTATCTGGGGTAGCCTCTGTATTTGAAATTGAAGTTGCTTAGGCAGCTTTCAATAAATTACGCAGCTAATATCATTTTTTTTTTATTGAAGCAGACTGGTAGTACCATACGGAGCTCTTCCAAGTAAAAATGAGTAAGATTCTGTTCTTCTGGCTTATAACACGTTGATTGGTTTGAGTAATTCAAAAGATGATATTTTATTTGGTGGGCTGTAGATAAAGATTCCGGAAATGAATCTCGTAGAGAGAGACGGAAAGCAGCTCGACTAGAGAAGAACAAGAAAAAGTTTGACTCATGGGTCCAACATCATGTATGAAAGATTCTTGAATGAAATTTTCTTCTCTAACCCATTTGATTTTCTGTTATTAACATGATTTTCTGTTATTAACATGATTTTCTGTGTTGACTTGTAGCAACTTCTAAAGAAGGAAAAAACTAGCAACAATAAGAAGGCCAAAAATGCGCAGAAGAGTACTCAAATTGCAGAAGAGAAAGAATCGGGAAAAGAAGATTCTACAAAACTATTAGAAACTTCATCACCTCACACTTTAAAAGAGACTATTTCTGCTGAGGATGACTTGAAACTGCAAAGACGACTTGCCAAGAAACTCAGGGTGAAGGATAAAAATTTATCTGAAGGAATTCTTTCTGCTCTTGAGTCCTTGGAGACAGAAGGGGGAGAAGCTTCTAGAAACACTAGTACTTCACGTAAGAAACATAAGAGGCGCATATCATCAGGAGATGATATCATGGCAGGTGACGACCAAACGAATATGTCTTTTGAACCAAAGGTTTTGAAAAAAAGGAAAACAAAGTTTGAAAAGTATCTGGAATTGGACACACAGAATGGTGTTGCTTCTGCGCAGGAGGATCTTGCTTTGGAACGAAAACTTGCGAAGAAGCTCAAACTGAAGGAAGGGAAATTACGAGGAGATGACGATGAGCTCAACATGTTATTTGAGGGGATTTCATCTGTATTTGATTCTTTGGAGACCGAAGAAAATGCAGACATGGAAGAAGCTTCTGAGGTTGCCACTAAAAAGAAGATTCCAAGGAAGAAACGCAAGAAAAACTCAGAACAGAAGGAGGATGCTGAGATCAGAAGTGAGGATGTGGTTGAAGGACCTGAGTCTGAAATAACTACTGGTGCAGAGTTGGATTCTGAAAATAACCCTGCTCAAGCATCCGTACCGGAAGTGCAAGCAAAATACGTGCCACCCCAACTAAGATCCATGTCTAGAAATGAATCGGAAGAATATTCTCAAGTTCGTAAACGTGTGCGGGGTATGCAAAATGGAGTTCTGAATTGATATTGGTCTAGCATCGTCTTCTTGATGATGCATTAAAGCTAATGATTTCTTGTTTAAATCTTGACTGGTTTCAGGTCTTTTAAACAGGCTGAGTGAATCTAATGTGGAAGGAATTGCAGGAGATATGTCCACAATTTTTCAGGTACGCTTTGTAATTTCATATATTTTCATTCTCTAGAACAACAGTGAAGTTAATGCTTGTATTGACCAAGTAGCTCTGCCTTTTCTTTTCCTGATGTCATTGATGATGTGATGATGCAATAAGTTAAGCTTTTTATGTTTGTACTTTTATTTTGTGTAACATAAGATTAATTTTATTCCTTTTTGCTTATTGTTTATTGATCTGAGCCTAATATCAATAGTTCTAACTCAGAGCTTTTTACTTGCAGTCTATTGCCCGTAGTGTTGGTGCTCAAATTATCAGTGAAGAAATTTTGGCATCATGTTCAGGGGGACCTCGTGGTAATGAACAGTTGAGTCCAGCTATTCCGCTCTCTATATCTTATTATTTGCATCCATAATTACATTAACCAAAGGTATTACTATTACCTACTGCTTAGCCAAGATTCATCTTAGGATCCTTTCTCGAGGAGAATCAAGTCACTTTTTTATATTTTAAGAGAACAGAAAAGGAAGCATAGTATATTACAGATTTGGTCTTTCTTTGTACATATAATGTATTTGGATGCCAATATGATCAAATTTATAGGAATTTTAGAAGTCAACTGACTAAAGTAAACAGCATGTGGCACATTGCACTTCCAAAGTATGAGAAAGAATCAGAGTTTAGCCAAAGCAGAAAGAGGAGTTTTAGTCTCTTGTTGTTATTTAAGTACATGATGTTATGTCTATTTGGGGATCGTTGTTTGAGATGATTCTGGGCGATTTCATTGGCAATTTGGCATGCATCCACTAATGTGACCTAAGTTTCTTGTTTTCACTAGAAAATAGACTCATTTACCTATATATTTCATTGGCAATGGTCTCATTAATACAGAAGTATACCCTTTTTGATAACTTGATTATATTCACATGTTTGGCTGTCTTCAAGCATAGCAAACCATTGACATCAACATATCAATTTATTCCTGCAAAAACATATATCCTTGAAATACGCAAAGTAAGATTAATTCAGGAAACAGTCGTAGGATTGGCTCTTTACTCAAACAATCCTTTAAGAGGGAAACGAATCAAAGTGGATTAGTGGGTAGCCTCTATGAACATGTATGGCGCCTCTATACCGAGAGAGATCCCAGATGGCTTCTTCTTTAATCAGTTCTGAACTCCATGATACATCAAGGGTTCTAAGTGGTTCATGAATGCAAACTTGTTTTTATTATCACTTGTATGAATCTAGAAGTTGGATGTTTTTTAATCGTTTAAGTAGGATTACTTGCTTCATTGGTGTACGATTCATTATTTATCATAAAAGTGAAATACCATGCTTCCATATCCACTTTTGCAATGTAATTGTTTCCTATCTTTCTTTCCAAATATATAAATATTCAATATATTGACTCTCGAGACTGCAAATTGTTTGTTTTTTTATTTCTTTATGCAGATCCATTATGTTTTTTTGGTGGTTATATAAATATCTTCCTCTTCATAATTTCTATTGGTATTTCTTTGACACAAATACATTTGTATGCGCAGATATGCTGCTGTTTTTGCAGCTTTAGTTTCTGGTTTGGCTTGCTTGGTTGGGATTGACTTTGGTGCAAAGCTGCTTGCTTCACTTGCAAAGTGCTTTGAGGTTCATTGCCGTTCTTGAGAGATTTCTTTTATGTGATCGACTATCTCAGTGTCTGTTAGGAAAATTTTGAGAGCATGCTACCTAGGACTACCTTACGCTTTCTCTTTAATAAAAAATCTAATTTGGCTTTATACGCAATCCACATAATGCATTCAGTTTTGTTACAGATGGCGGCACACGCTGCTAATACCAACATTTCCTATGTTTTATTCAGGATGAGTACATAAAAGAAGACAATCTCTCTTTGCGGAATTTAACTCTTCTTCTTTCTTATTTATACATATTTGGAGTTTGCTCAAGGTTAGTCACTTATGTCACGTTAAGCTTTCTTGCTCTAAATAGAAGCGCTATTCTTTACAAAACACTTGAGATGTGACAAGATTGATAAATTACTAAGCTACGCATGTCAAATTAAACCCTAGAACCTTACATAATTCTTCATCCGCCTACTCACTCTGGCCCATCCTGTCCAATCCTGTCCGCTTTGTACCAAACCAGAGCTGGCAAGCATGCAGCTAGAATGAACATTAAAAAAAATTCTAGGCTGTAAACACGAAACTCGCTGCTTTCCAAGATTCTCCTTACGTTTCTCCATATGTATATGGGTCCACACAAGAAATAGTTGTTCCCAACTAAACCAAACAACTTATTCATCCCAAAATTTCAGCACAATCCAATCAAAACCAAGCTGAAGTAATATCCTACTTCCATCTCTTGAAATTTTGTATTGGAGATAAATGTACTTTGTCAAATCACTTGTCATTTTCATGTTTTGGTACCTCATTAATACTACCCTTTCTATTTGTCTTAATAATTCCTTTCTAATCCATTTTCAGTGATTTAATTTATGATTTCATGATGATGCTGAGCTCGCGGTTGACCGAGGTTGATGTTTCCACCATCTTGACCATTCTTAATTGTAAGCCTCTTCACTGTTTACCGGTTTCACTTGTTTCTTGCATTACCCTTTTGTGTTATATGTTACTCACCATGTGTAATGACACACTACGAGAAAAGGCAAGCGCCATTGTGTGGTGTGTAAAACTTGGCCTTTAAGGGTTCGTTTGGTACACTGGACAGAACAGATTAGGGAACACTGTTCCATGTTTGGCAGGAATTTTATATGGACCAGACAGGAACAAAGTGGAACAGGCGTGTTCCATCCCATCCTGTGGAACAAGGTGGTACAGACCTATGTTTTACCAATATAACCTAAAAAATACAACCAAATTCTCTTCTAAAACATCAAATAAGCCTTCCTCGAGATATATATTTTTTATACGGCTTCTATATTTTGATCAACTTATGTAATATGTTAAATATTAATAATAAAAAAATAATATAGAAAAGGTATAACATAAAAATTGGAAACTACATAAAATTTTTATTTTGGTGTCATTTTAATTGTCTTGACGGAAAATTTCTAATGTTATATTTTGTTGTAAAAAAATATTTATTTTATTACAACTTTATAAATTACATGATCAATCAAAATATGTAAACAACTCATTAGGGGTAAATTTGGTCATTTTATCTGTTCTGTCCAGTTTTGTCTTACCAAACGTTGAACACATGTTCTATCCTGCCTGTTCTATCGTGTCTGGATATCAAACACACCCTAATTGAATAATCTGATTTCGTGATTTTTTGGCCTTTTTGGGTCTTTTTATAAATCTCTTAAAATCTTTTGGGGTATTTTATCAAACTAATATAGTGATATGTGACCCCATTAAAATGGGGAATCAAACTCTACACTTAACACCTAAATACAAAAGTTTAGCCTTTGCTTCTCTTTTTGTATTTGATGACTCAACTTCTTTGCTTCTGCAATGTCCTTTTCATTTTTATCTGTTCTTTATGCTTTCTGCTACCGATTCCCAAAATTCCAGTTGATAATTAAAACTTGCATTTTTTTTTTTCAAAACTACAATGTTTTATTTGTAGACAATCAACTGAGTGGTCTAAATTTACAAGTATATCGATCCATGCTGCTTACTATTTGCATCAATAGGTTCTGGAATGCGGTTGAGGAGTGATGATCCGGCCACCATGAAAAATTTTATCCTTAGCATCCAGAACAAGGTGACAGAACTGAAGGCTGCTGATGGAGATAACCAGGCAAAGTCGAGAAGTAAACGAGTATGTATTCCATTGATTCATGTTTATGAGAAGTAAAAGAGTACTCATATAATTGATTCACATTTATTTTTTTTAATCAATTTCTGCTTGATTTTAGCTTCCGTTGTAACCACATTTGCAGATGGAGTTCATGCTTGAAACCGTAGTTGACATCAAGAACAACAAAAAAAGGGCTAAAGAGGATACTTTGCAGCATACCCGCATCAAGAAATGGCTTCAGAAGGTCATTATAATTCACTGTTTTTTATATTCCATTTGACCAGTCATAATCACGCTGCTTCTATTTTTGTTTACTTGCTGCTTGTAGTTGAGAGTAGAAAGTATTTTAATTCGGGGATTAAAGTGGAGCAAACTTATTGACCCTAACAAGAAAGGGCAATGGTGGTTATCGGGAGACATGGTATCTACTACCGATAATATTGAAAATGTTGCCAAAAAGATCGATAGAGAGAGCTCGGAAGCTCAGAAAATGCTTCAACTTGCCGCCGGACAAAGAATGAACACGGATGCAAGAAGGGCAATCTTTTGTATAGTAATGAGTGGGGATGACTATATTGATGCATTTGAGAAACTTTTGAGGTTGGATTTGCAAGGGAAGCAGGTATCTATCCTTTTCTTATTATTACACCCTCCATCCTAAAATCAACGTTCACACTGAAAAAGACACAGTTTTAAAAATATGTAATCATTACCCTTTTTAATTAACTAAATGACAATTTTACCCTTTTTAATTAACTAAATGACAATTTTACCCTTAATAACAGAGGGAGGAATGAATTTCCCCATCTCGTTATTAAGGATAGAATTGGAAAGTAGACGCTTACTTTTGAAAGTGGACACTTATTTTGAGATGGAGGGAGTATCGTTGTTATCATCATCATATTTATATGTTCATCTTAAATTATGGTTTTGTTATGATATTGTAGGATAGAGAGATCATGAGAGTGCTTGTGGAGTGCTGCCTGCAAGAGAAAGTATTCAACAAGTACTATTGTGTTCTGGTTTCTAAGTTATGTAGCCATGATAAGAACCACAAGTTCACATTACAGGTATCTCATTTCATATCATTCTTAACCAAACCAAACCAAACCAAACCAAACGAACTCAGTGTTGCCACCTGGAGGTGGGGTCTGGGGAGGATAAGATGTACACAGACTTGATATCTACCCCAAATAGTGAAGCGGCTTCATTTTATTCTTATATCTAGAACAATTCTCAAAAACACTTGAATTTAGATATCGAGAACTAATTGGTACTTTTGTAATGTGTAGTAGATTAGTTTAGGGTCAAAAAGAGAATGTTTTGACTTCTGGAATCCATCAGTTTTGAAATTCGAATTTGATATCTTGAAACGTTCTCAATTTCATAGAAATATCAAGATTTTAGTTGGAAAACTTTGTGCCAAGGCGGCGCCAGACGGTGTTCCAAAGTGACATATGGAACAGGGACCAAAATTCTTGGGGACCAATTATACATGTTATATATATAGTCCAATTATACATGATTTATCTCAATTATAATGCTTTAGGCTTCTACTCTTTAGCCATGATTCCTGATTCTGGCTTTCGAAGAATTATTCTATTTTTAATGAATTTTATGTTACTTTGTCATTTTAAGAGATTTTTGTTTATAATTGATAAGACTTTTAATGTAATATATGGTATGAACTTTTATATTTTGTTTTATTTATTACTCGTCTAGTCGATCTCTAGTTTTGGTACCTGTGTACCAGGTCCTCCAAAAATACTCGAACGTCCCTGCTTTGTCTGATCCATCTTTGTTTTATCTTCTCAGTACTGCATATGGGATCACTATACCGAACTGGAATCAATGCAGCTGATCAGGTCGATGCACTTGGCGAAACTCGTGGCAGAGATGGTGGCGGCATTTACGCTCTCCCTAGCGGTCTTGAAGAAGGCCGATCTACACGACACCACTCAGCTCACTTCTAGGAAAATCATGCATTTCAAGATCTTTTTCGAGGCCGTCTTTGAGTACCAAGATAATGTCGTGTGGAACATATTCAAACGGATAGCGGGTTCCGAGCAATACGAACCCCTTCGAACTGGAATCAAGTTTTTCGTAGAGAGGTATGTTATGGGAAGTGAAAAGCCATTTGCAGGGAAATACAAAATTGCCAAGAAAGCCCTAAAGAGTGTTGAAGAAGACATATTCTGAGTTAAAAATGCTCCAATTTTAATCTCATTTTTTATGTGTTGAATTGGGTGCACAAAATTTTGTAGGTAGGGTTCCATTTATTCTGTGGGATCTTATATACTGATATAATGAAAGCCTTTGGGGGATTTTGGGCTGATGTTTTTGCTTTTTTTAACTTTGTATAAAATTTTATAAAAATATTTAAAATGATTTAGGGGCCGTTTACTAAACACTTATTTAGTAAGTACTTACCGGATAAATTTTCTCATCGAATGAACATGAGAGGGTCAAGAAGCTTACCGGGTAAGAGCGATGAGAATGATGGAGAGTCTTACCCGGTAAGTTTGGAAGATGACTCTTACCCAAGTAAGCGTTTACCTACTAAATTGTTGCATCCGATTGTTTTAATATACTGAAATCTTACGCATTAAAATAAATCATAATGTTGATTTCTATTGATAAACGCTTATCGGATAAGCAATTGAGTAAACTCCTCCTAATACCATATAAATTGATGATAAATATTTTTATAAATACAATTGTTTAAAGGATAAGTTTTTTTAAGGCAAAGTGAAGAAAAACGTTAACGTGGAGAACAAGTGTAAATGCATCATGAGTTTTCATCGTGGGTCCCACCATCTCCAAAAGTTTACATTATATGTAATTGTATATATTTAAACTATAATAATAACACAAGTTTTATTCGGTAAAGTTGATTTTCATAATTTTTTTCTCTCTCTTTCAGATGGTTTAAATTTTATTTATATCATTTTCTTAGTTTCTAATTTTTAATTTTAGATTTATTATGTTTTTTTAAAAGAATAAAACTCAAACACGTAACCTCATATACAAAAAAAACATAAATTAATCAATAGATCAATAGGAAAAATCATCCATAACTTCTATCTTTATAATCAAATTATGGGGGAAAAAGTGTAAGTTTGCCTCTTTAATATAAATAAAAGGACAAGAGGAGGAACTTTCTCATCCATTATAGTAATTATATTGAATAATTTGATTAAAATTAGAATATATATATATATATATATAGAGAGAGAGAGAGATAGTGTTATAATGTGATTATTTATATTTGTACAACTAATACAACTCAATTTCAACCGTCCATTTAATTTGATAAATATGTGTTTCTTAATATAAAATATTGATCATAATTACTAAACCCTAGTCATCTTTCATAAATATTCAAATCATAATAAATGAACTCTTATCATTTTCATAAATATTTCAATTAAATGAGTTGTATTGGTTGTATAAATGTGATGAGTTGCATTTGAAACGTCCCATCTCTCTCTCTCTCTCTCTATATATATATATATAGAGAGAGAGAGAGAGTATATATATATATAGAGAGAGAGAAGAGCGATCAAATACAAAYCATCCAATTTRTACAAACCGTGCAAACCATTCTCATCCGTCGATTTCATTGTTTAATCTTATGAAATTTTTTCATGAAATTGTTTCATCTTTTGAAATTGTTTCATATAATACTTTTTTTTTGATGAAGTTGTTTCATATATGGTTATGAAATTGTTTTAAATAGTACTTAATGAAATTTTAATGAAACAACTTCATGTATTTTTCTAAAATTAAAATAATGAAGATGATAATATTCATGATTAACACCCTCCACAATAAAAAAAATGATTAATCAACCTCTCATAATTACAAAAAAATGAACAAAATAAAAATTTATGATTGATTGAATAAAGTTTGTACAAATAACGTGGTTTGTAAAGTAAACCTCCTATATATATATATATATATATATATATATATATATATATATATATAT